CAATGCCGATGTTGGATGCAAGCGATCTTTTTTCTCCTTCCGTCATGCCGACCAAATAGAGCTCAGACTTTGCGGGATGTATATAATAGGGAAAATGTTTTTCTATTATTGATAATGGGAAGAATAAATCATAATATATAGCAAAATACAATAGAATATTCTAGGCATAATATCTAGGGTAAATCATAATCATATCAATGATAATATTTTAATAATAATATCTTCCTATATGCCCCCTCAAGATGAATCATCTATGATGAATTCAATCTTGTTACATAAAAACTGAAAACTGAAATTGTGATCGTATGAAACGAACCATCTTCCATGTGGTAGTGTAGTTCAGACTTGAGTCGGTGTTGCTTGATAACGTTTGAAGAGCTTGAGAGTTGTATTCTCACAGGCTGATATGGCACGAAAGTGCGACGCGTATGCGTGAATTGGGTTGCACGACAATGAGGTCGGCAGCGCAAAAAACTGCGGTGTATATGGCGGCTAGGCTGGAGAGAAAAAAAAAAGAGGGCGCAAAAGCACGACGCATAATGCGTGATAGTCTAGTAACGGGACAAGAGAAGAGAATAAAAATAAGTGACGCAAATACGTGGATTGACGATCGGAGTTTTCCAATCGAAAGAGGCTAAAAGCCATGTTTAAAGAGTTCACAACAGCTAGGGTTGACATCGATAAATGAATGTCGTCAGAGAAAAAAAAGAGTAGCACATCGGCTAGGGTTGACGTCGATAAACGAACATCGTCGTAAAGAAAAAAATAGCACATCGGCTAGGATTGACGGTGATGAACACCGCCGTCGGGGAAAGAAAATAGAAAAAAAAAAGAGCAAAATAAATTGAAAACGATACTCAAGACGATGATACTATTGGATTTAATACATCGTTGTCATCTTCATCGTCGCTTTCAGATTCGACCAACATTGTTGATGAGAAGAAAAAAAATCTAGAACAAAAACCAAAGCTTTGATACCATAATAGAGAAATGTTTTTCTATTATTGATAATGGGAAGAATAAATCATAATATATAGCAAAATACAATAGAATATTCTAGGCATAATATTTAGGGTAAATCATAATCATATCAATGATAATATTTTAATAATAATATCTTCCTATAGTATATGCAGTCCCGACATTTCAGTGAAGATTGCCATCGTGCTTCGAATTTCCTGTAGCGATTGTAAATCGCCCTGGAAAAATATCATAATGTTGTCTGCAAAGGAAAGATCGATGGGTAATCAAGGGTTGGAGGCATCGGTGGTGAGGTTTTAGACGATCGTCAGTGACTAATCTCTCGAGCAAACGGGATAATATTTCCATTGTCATGATAAACAAGTAGGGAGAGAGCGGATCTCCTTGCCTTAAGCCCTTACGCCCCTTAAAATAACTTGTAAGCTCCCCGTTTATGGCTACCGAGAATTTATGGGTAGTTATACATGCAGTAATCCATGATATAAATCTCGGGGGAAGATTTATAACTCTAAGTAATCTGATTATGATAGACCAATCTAGCGAATCGAATGCTTTCCGAATGTCTATCTTGTGTTGGATTTGGGTTTATTTGATAGAATCAAAACGGGCCTAGCCCGTGAGAAGCCCGGTCCGTATAAATTTAAATCTGCAGAATATTAAGAGAATATTCTTATTTGAATTTGAAATTCAAATTCAAATTGGATTCAAATCCGCAGAAAATCTATCAAATATGATTGAGATAAGATTGAGATAATATCAAAATAAAATCAAATTTGAATTTTGAAATTCAAATTGATTTGTTTTGAGATTCTCCCCTCTACTATAAATAGGGGTCTTGGGTTAGCTCATAAAACACACAGAAAAGAAACAAGCATTCTAGAGAAAAAGAGCATTCACATATTTGCTCATATCTCTCTCTGAGTTCGCTTGGTATTTGGAAAGCTTCTTCCAAATACGCGGTCGTTGTATCCTGGGAGTTCACCGTGCTCCAATAGCCTCGAAGCTTTAGAGGTGGCACGGAAATCGAACTTAAGGAAACTGTGTTTCACAGGCCTCGACAAAATAATTTTTTAATTTCAGGTACTTATCTGGAATCGCTCGAATTGCCGGAGTTTTGCCGTCGTCAACAACCGTCGTCCCCAACAATCTATTTTGTTTAACCGCCGTCAGGTACTTAGGCCATATAGGAATATTCTCAAGAAAGTTTCGAAGCCACTCAGCTTCTTCACCAGCAAGGTCTAAAGCTATAAATTCAGATTCCATAGTGGATCTTGCAATACACGTTTGCTTAGAGGATTTCCACGAAATAGCACCTCCACCAACAACGAATATATATCCACTTGTGGATTTATTCTCATTCGAATCTGATATCCAGTTCGCATCAGAATATCCTTCTAATACTGCTGGATATCTTGTATAATGCAGTCCATAATTCTCAGTATACCTTAGATATCTAAGGAGTCTAATTATGGCCTTCCAATGATCACAACTTGGATTGCTCGTATATCTGCTAAGCCTATTCACGGTATTAGCAATATCCGGCCTTGTACTATTCATAAGATGCATTAAGCTTCCTATGATTCTGGAATATTCTAATTGTTGAACTCCCTCACCGTGATGTTTTTTCAAATGAGAATTAACATCAATTGGAGTTCTGGCCTCAGAATTTCCATCTCTGTCAAATCTCTCTAAGATTTGTTTTATATAATGACTTTGGGATAACGCATAACCGTCTTGTGTCTTGATAATTCTCATACCAAGTATTACATCTGCTATTCCCAAGTCTTTCATGTCAAAGTGATTTGATAATATGGTTTTCGTAGCTTTAATCACCTTATCACCACTACCAGTAATGATCATATCATCTACGTAAAGACAGATAATCACAAATTCTGTCTCATTACCTTTGACATATATGCACTTGTCAACCTCGTTGACCCGAAATCCATTTGACAACATTACGCTATCAAACTTCGCATGCCATTGTTTCGGAGCTTGTTTAAGTCCATACAATGATTTCACAAGTTTACACACTTTTCCCTCTTGTCCGTGCACTCTGCACCCTTCAGGTTGAAGCATGTATACTTCTTCTTCCAGTTCACCATTTAGAAATGCAGTCTTTACATCCATCTGATGTAATTCTAGATTATGTAAGGCTGCCAAGGCTATAATAAACCTTATGGATGTTTTCCGAGCGACTGGAGAGTAAACATCGAAGTAATCGACACCCTCAGTTTGCCTATAGCCTTTGACTACAAGTCTCGCCTTGTATTTTTCAATAGAACCATCCGGTTTCATCTTTCTTTTGAAGACCCATTTATAACCCAATGGTTTGCATCATTGTGGAAGATCCACAAGTTCCCAAGTGTGATTTTGCCGGATTGATTCAATCTCACTCTTCACCGCTTCCTTCCAATAAGGAGCTTCGGGTGATGACATAGCCTCTTGATATGTCTGTGGTTGTGATGTTTTTTCAAATGAGAATTAACATCAATTGGAGTTCTGGCCTCAGAATTTCCATCTCTGTCAAATCTCTCTAAGATTTGTTTTATATAATGACTTTGGGATAACGCATAACCGTCTTGTGTCTTGATAATTCTCATACCAAGTATTACATCTGCTATTCCCAAGTCTTTCATGTCAAAGTAATTTGATAACATGGTTTTCGTAGATTTAATCACTTTATCACTACTACCAGTGGTGACTCATATTCACCTCCTCTATCGCTTCTCAAAGCTTTGATTTTCTTTCCAAGTTGATTTTCAACTTCGTTTTTATAGAGATTAAACATGTCTATTGCCTCATCTTTACTTCTCATTAAGTAGAGATAACAATATCGAGTACAATCATCAATAAATGTAATGAAGTACTTCTTTCCGCCTCTGGTTTACACATATTTCAAATCGCATACATCTGTATGTATCAATTCCAAAGGTTCAGTACTTCGTTCAATATTTTTAAACGAAGACTTAGCAAATTTTGCTTCAACGCAGACTTCACACTTGTGGTCTTTGTCTAATTTAAATTTTGGCAGTAGATTACAAGACATTAATCTTTGCATAGACTTAAGATTCACATGTCCTAATCTACCATGCCATAATCTTGACTCAATCAAGTAAGCAGAAGAAGTAGAAGCTTTATTAATATCATTTGCGGTTATATTGTTTGCCGCATTGGTGTTACAAATGGTCATTACATTCATCTTGCACATACCATTTGCTAGATAACCTCTACCCAGATACACACCATCTTTTGACACTACAACTCTCTCAGATTCAAACACTAGCTTAAAGCCTTTCTTTGACATCACAGATCCAGAGAGCAGGTTCTTGCGAATGTCTGGCACATGAAGAACCTCAGTGAGCGTCAGCTTCTTTCCAGATGTCATCTTCAAAATGACTGAACCCTTGCCTTCCACTTTGGATGCAGCAGAGTTTCCCATATAGCAGCTTTCTCCGGTGACAGTGTCATAGGTGGTGAACATCCATTTGTTAGCACAAATGTGGCGGGTTGCTCCAGTGTCAATCAACCATTCTCTCGGATTATCTCCGACCATGTTCACTTCTGACACAACTGCTACGAATTCAGACTCCCCATCTTCTACTTCAGCTACATGAGCTTGGGTTTTATTCCCAATTTTCTTCTGGGCACCTTCCTTGCGATGGTAGCAATCCTTCGCCAGATGTCCAACCTTGCCACAGATGTAGCAATTCCCCTTGAATTTCTTGGAGTTGACATTCTTATCAATCTTCCGCTTCTTAATCCCTTTGGCCTTAGTCGTCTCAACGACATTTGCCTTGGATCCAAACTGCCCATTCATTTTAAGAATAGGTTGAGATTCCTGCCGAATTCTCACACGACGATGTAAATCTTTCAAAGACATATCCTTAGATTTTTGTCTCAGGTCATTCTTGAAACTCGTCCAGGAGGGAGGCAATTTTTCAATCAGAGTTGCCACCTGGAACCGTTCATTTACCATGATGTCTTCTCCCGCCAAGTTGTGGAAGATGATTTGTAATTCATCTACTTGTTCCACAACTATGATCAATCGCTTCCCAGAGTTGCTTTGCCGTAACATATTTGGAGAAAACACCATAAAGCGAATCATCCAAACCGTTCAGCACAAAGTTCCAACACATGAAATTGTTATGTTTCCATTGTTGGCAACTAGCTAGAGATTTGGCATTGCCCTCCTCTGGGATTGGTTCCTCTTCAGTGAGGTACCGTGACAACTTAAGTTGTGTTAAGAAAAACAACATCTTTTGTTGCCAGCGTTTGAAATTTTGACCCTTAAATTGTTCAGGTCTCTCAGCCGGGCCGATAGGCACAATAGGAATTGCCTGGTTTTCGGAGTTCGCAACAACCGAAGGCATTTCTGGTAGGACAACGTTCGCAACGTTTGGCACTTGATTATTCATATCTGTGCCAGCAACATCATGATTAACGGGGTTCGTAACCTCCGCTATATGAGGATTCTCATCGATATCCATAGCAGGAATCTCATTCCCTGGAGCAGTATTTGAATCCATGGGATTTCTTGGATTATCAATGATCTGTTGAATAAATCCAATCATTGTTAGCTTTCACAAAGCTTATAAACTAAACCGAGTTTCACTTAACTTATAAATTGGTTTTGCTCGCTTCCAGTGATAGCCGGAGGGTTCACCCCGATTCCCACGTCCTTACTATGAGGAGGGTATAAAGGGCTTCCTCTTCAAACCCGGCCCGCTAAGACAAAGCTTGCTTCCCCAATTTACAGGAAAAGTTACTTCCGATTTTGTTTAATTTTTTTTTTCTTTTCTTCAAAAAAAAAATAAGAATATTTCTTTTTTTTTTCCCACAAAACACTTGTAAATATATTGGGCTTTCTCTTATGGGCTTTTAGATTAATCTCTTCAAATTGGGCCAAGACTAAACTTTTCAATTTGGGCTTACTCTTTTGGGCTTTTCAATTAATCTCTTTGAATTTGGGCTTCAATTTTAAATTTGGGCCTTAAACTCAATTTGGGCTTCACAAAACAACTATTTGGTTTTTTTTTTTCCAACATTTTTTTTTTTATAAACCTAGTTGTTTTTAGATCCAAATTCGTGTGAGATTTTATACCGAAATTAAAAGGAGATTTAGGCACTTACCCGAGAAGTTTGCCTCGTGTTAACCATATCGAACTTAAGATTGTTGGGGACGGCGGTTGTTGACGACGACAAAACTCCGACAATTCGAGCGATTCCAGATAAGTACCTGAAATTAAAAAATTATTTTGTCGAGGCCTGTGAAACACAGTTTCCTTAAGTTCGATTTCCGTGCCACCTCTAAAGCTTCGAGGCTATTGGAGCACGGTGAACTCCCAGGATACAACGACCGCGTATTTGGAAGAAGCTTTCCAAATACCAAGCGAACTCAGAGAGAGATATGAGCAAATATGTGAATGCTCTTTTTCTCTAGAATGCTTGTTTCTTTTCTGTGTGTTTTATGAGCTAACCCAAGACCCCTATTTATAGTAGATGAGAGAATCTCAAAACAAATCAATTTGAATTTCAAAATTCAAATTTGATTTTATTTTGATATTATCTCAATCTTATCTCAATCATATTTGATAGATTTTCTGCGGATTTGAATCCAATTTGAATTTGAATTTCAAATTCAAATAAGAATATTCTCTTAATATTCTGCAGATTTAAATTTATACGGACCGAGCTTCTCACGGACTAGGCCCGTTTTGATTCTATCAAATAAACCCAAATCCAACATCTTGATCATTGCACTTCTCTTGGTTGAATTTCTATTATACTCTCTAACAATCTCCGAAGCGAGCAAAACATTTTCAATCATCAATCGCCCTTTCAAGAATGTATTTCGGTTGTGTGAGACCATTTTCACACATGAATTATTATCACCAATACCTAATAAAGCTTGAGTTTTTTGGCCAATTGAGTGTCTCGTTGAAGTAATTTTGAGTTTTGTTTTTGTTCCACATACATGTGTACATATATATATACACACACATACGTATATAACTATGCCTGTGAATGTGCGCACGCGCTTCATAAACTCTTTATTACAACATAATTTCTTGATCTGGTTGTGAAGAGAAGTGCATGAATCGAGCCGCCCTTTGTTTGTTTCCGATTATATCTGGGCAATTTTGTGTTTTGTCATTTAAATATTTTCTCCATGACATCACATTAGCCGCTGCCTTATGTCCATTTCGAGAACTCTACCAAATTGATGGGTACGAGTCCTTCAAGAGATTCAATGAACCTTTTTATTACATGCATGCGTCCATTATCAACACCTCTCTTTTATAGTTTTCCACTTCTCTTTTATAGCAATAATTTCAAAGTCCCCTAATGTCTACACGTAAATATAAAAATTAATTTCACATTTTTGGTGTATGTAAATGTGTCAAAAGAGGGAAAGAAGGAAGCCCTCGTAACATATGCCACTACATATAATATACATTCGATTTACATAAAAAGACGAAAAATGAAATAAAAAAACATTAAGAAAGAGCCCTTTAAATAAAAAGAGGATACACTTTTCCATATGTGGTTTTTAAAAAATAATATTCCCCCAACCAATCAACTTTGATGTGTCCACTTTCTTCCCTTCACTCTCTTCTTTTTTTTATTTATTTATATATTTATTTATTTATATTTATTCCTCTTCAGACACGATCCTGCCTTCACGTTATACACAAATCATAAAGAATAATTTCACTTCTGAACATTTTTCATCAATTCTAGAAAGCCACAATACCGGTTTGAATTCCCTAGAAATATTGATATTTTCTCATTGGTTATTCTAGTTGACGATTAAAGAAACTATATTTTTTTTTCCTATCAAAGTAATATATAAGATAATCATATACTTTCTTAACACTTGTTATATGTATGTATGTACGTACGTACGTATGTACGTGGACCGATAATGAATAATTTTAGTGGAACTTGGAACGACGATAGTCAATATGTGCTAAGCCTATATATATATATATATATATATATATATATATTAATGATGCTAAGTCTATATTGTGTAGAAACTATAGTTTATACACCGCAGGTAGGCCTTAGACTACATCTTCACATGCTCGGGAGACAAGATATGCAATTAGGGAACCACGTTTTTAAGTTTCCGAAATGAAACCTTTCAG